AGGTATAAACATACCTTGTGTATTGTATCAAGAATCTTGTTTTTGGCTTGAGTTATAGTATCACTATCCAATAGCGTAACTTGGATCGGTGGCTCGTCGTCTTGGCTCACTGACACTCTTAACGTCTAAAYGAACCGAATTAGTGAGTATTGAATTCAATAAATATCGAATGAATGAACGAACGAAMGAAACGGAACAAGCAAAAATSAACAGCAGAAGGACTTRTGTCCGACAAAGCTCAAGCTCCGACAGATTAACAGGTTAAACTGAAMTTKTTCGTGGACATTGCCAATTGATGCTTGTATATTCGTTCTGGAACTAACATTTTTTAAAGATAAACCAGTTCTACAAACGAGAGACACAAACACATACCTCGTATTCCACCGTGTGACGTAATAGTTTATTTTCACTGAGTGAGTAGCGTGCATCTCCAGTYAACATATCAACAGGTCCTTTCTCGATGTTATACTTGATGGCCATAAACAGCATGAACAATGGCTTCCCTGACTCATCCTGAAAACAGAATCTCGTTCASAGATCAACCTCAAACAGACAGAGAAGCGGGAAGTCWGTGAATTGTGGCTTGAAAACCACTACTATTTTAAGTGACCGCCATTACTCAGTGGAATTAATRTTGTAATTCAGTCTGTGCGGTTAATGATTCACTTTACCTTCAGATGATTGAACATACAAAACGCCAACCAGTTTGTCAAAAGCTTCTCAGCCACAGACTCGGTCCTATTAAAGCAGGRATGTGAATGACAAATGGTTCAAATTTGAAWTAATAACAATCACCAAAKRCCTACCTCCTCAAAAGAAGTTTTGGGTGACTTTGAGCAACGGAYTTGCGTACCAATTCACATAACAGTTGCTTAAGAATGCTGAAAAGGATGAGAGAATCAGAATTACTGATATCATTGTTAAGCAGTAAAATATTTTTAAAGTGAGAGTTGAAATCACGTACTCTGTGGCGTATTCCATCTTTGATTGCAAAGCCACCATTATCAGAGATGCCAAGTTACATCTGAAGAAAAGAGAGCGTTAAACATGCCAAATARGCGCATCAATAGTTCTCAGGTCTGGGGCGATACTGCCCGATATGAGGATCTACACCCTCTCATATCTCGTTACGAGGACCTTTGTAATTAAATGCCCGCAATATCGAGTGTCCAATGTAAAAGGAGCTCTTGTACCGTAATTTTGTTTTCCCGCTTTAACGGAATATTGGGCTGTCGACAGCTGAATGTAGTAGACAAATAATTTTCTTTCTTCGCTGAATTTAAGAACACATGCACAYTTACGTACAAGGTTTGTAATTTGGATTTAAGCAACGAATGGACCAGGTCTCAATCTCAAACCTCTCTATTACGGACACTGTGCATAATCGCAATAATAGGAAATTTRTGCGCACCATATTTGACCGTTGTTACACCACAGGAATCCCAGTACCCTAGCATACCTATCTTTCATGTTGAAATTGTTTTGCTGTTCCAATGTCCTCACGAAAATCAGCAGAAATTCTCTGTTATAGATCAACTGTGCAAACTTTCTGAGTCCGTTCTCCCAGTTAGGTGTCATATTACTCTGTAACAGAATACGATCTTTTTTTATAAAGATGGATTTTCAACGACCTACTCCATGCAWCAAGTAAGGTTGCATTAACTACTTGTAATATATCAATATCACTATCAATTTAACTTCTTGACGAGCATAATTTTGCTCCGAGWTATCATAAATGTCATTCAAACCCTATAAAAATAGCTTTTAAAGCAGACGTTCCCAACAAAAATGCGCACAAAATACTGGTCTGTTTTTCTTATCTCCTTTCCTTTTCTTTGAAAAGCGGTTGTCGCCACGTTGAGTATGCGCAGAAGACTAAACGTTTGCTTTTACTTTGATAATGGTTGCTAGGAGACTGACAATACCTTCATATTCAAAACCGCGTGTTCCTGGACRCCAGGGAAGAGAACATGCAARGCGTAAGTCCGGAAATCCCAGAAAGGCATCCTTGCTGCCGACAGATCACTTGTCCAGTCAGTCATGTCCGTTTGCAGTTCGGCAAAAGCTGAAAAAGAATCAATTTCTAAATTTGGTTTGTTTCTTTAGTAMATGTATGTTCGAAGAATAAAGTTACATGGTTGGCTAGAGGTGAATAAAATCGGCACAAATACAAACACATGCAGATTTAATAAATAAATGAATATTAAGACACATAATAACATGGATGGGAGAACATATTAATAAATAGATGAATGGATAAATAAAAGAATAAACGAATAGAGTGATGAACAGACAGATGCAAATATKAATCATAAAACTGCTTCCGACTGTCAAAGAAGTAAAAGGAAAAGTTTCCTTTTCTATTCATGCTTCGCTTTACATAAAATCCAGAGTAAACAAAGAACATAGTTCAAACCTTTTCTGCACTCTTTCGCCACTTTGGACTCCATATTGGCAATTTTCATTTCATAGCGTTCATTGCTTTTGTACTGTTGGCGTTTTTTCTTACGATAGAGACAAATCAGGCAAATGATTATCGCTATAAACACAAAGCCACCAACAGCCACCCCAATGGCCACGTACAACAMGGGGAATTCCTTWACAGGCTTCATTARAGTGTATTTAACTTTACCAAGAACGAACGTCAAATAAGCGGCCTTTACCTAAGAGTAGGGAAAATATGAATAATTTTCAACAAAGAGCTGAAAAGACAAACCACAAATGAGCAGACCCAGCACTTCAAGGAWCAGTCATTGACATCTTTATGAAGGGAGTTGGGCTTCTGTCACGTTTATGGGGTCAAATTCACGAGGAGAGAAGCTTAAAAGTCTTGTATGCCATTTGGTAAAACGCCGATATATCCTGGTAAGTCTATAAACGGCTAATGTGTTCAGTTAATTAAAAAACTCAGCTTTTTGTCCAATTTACCGCGGCGTATTGTATTTCCCCCTGTAACGTACTAGAGGAGTGAAACAAATGAAAAACGGCTGTTTTCAACGTGAGCTTTTTGTGGTTTATATTGGTCAATTTTCAGTGAGTAGAATTTGACACCATATGGACTTTTTTAGGAAATAGAGAACATTAAAACCTGTTWATCCCCATTAATAATAGCTCGGAAAATCTAACCTGGAATGGAAGTACGTAACGCTATTTAGCTAAAGCCAACATACAAAAAAAAATCACGGAAGTGTTTTCATTTAGTATTCTCAGACGGATCGATTTTAGAAAGGAAAGATCTAGAGTTTTATTCTTATCTTACTGATTATAATTCTAGACCTTCTACATAAGAAATGTTGCCTTTTCTTATTGATAAAGGGACTTTGAAAAATCACAACAATTATATAGTCTTTTCGAAAAGTACTGCCTTAATGAAGAGGTTTTATGATCGGTGATGCCAGTAGTAAAGCCAATTTTATTGAAAATTATATTTTCACTAAAACAGTGAAAAAGTTGTCATAAACCACAATTGTTTGCTGTTGAATTAGCAAACAATAACATACATTAAACGAGGGAATTTCAAAACAAATCCGACATTGTTCATATAAATACCGTAAGCGTAAACTCGTCTATCTCAACGCCATCAGGAAGGTTACCAACCACGRTGCTTTTAGCAGGAATGTTGCAAACGACGTTTTTCTGATAGAAAAAAAAGAATCCATTTTTTACGTAAACATTTTTTCATGCAATGAAATCACTCCATTTTGAAATTAAATCACTAACATTTTAAAAATGCTTTTAGTTTAATGTCCGTACAATGATGCTGATGCCGATAATATCGATAATGATGGTATATATACGTTAAGATACGTTTTAATACAATGGTGAAAAACAATTATAACAATAGATCATACTTACATCAGCAACTGCWGTAACATTACAGTGAACCCCTTCTATAGTAACAGTGACTTGGTCTTTGGTTAAAAGTTTCAAATAACTTCCCTGTGGACCACAAGTAGACGTCAGGTTATGGTTTAGATGGTCACAAGATTAGTGAAAACACTGCTTTAGCATGTTTTGAGGTGATTACAGAATTAGCATATAAATCAAATATAATATAAAAAAGAAGATTTAGACCAACGATACCTCAAGAACCAGAGGATTTTCAGTGTTAATATCTTTGACTTCATCAAACGGCTTGAAGTAAGGATCRTTTACTATTGCTAGAGTGCTAACATTGCGAAGGCCTTGAACACTATCCATGAYAAACCCWRCAATAACYTTAGAAGCGTTCACAGAACCAGGAACAAGGTTGAAGTCAGTCACRTTAGGACTGGGRCAAGTCATTTTGGTATTACTGATAACTGTGCATATCTGGAAWATATAATAAAGCAGTCAATTGTTAGTTCAGCTGTGTTTGCAATGATTCAGGAAAAAAATCAAAACCAACAAA